CCCCCACCTAAGCCCAGCCCCTGACGTCAAGCCCCAGGCTTACGGAAGTTCGATCCCTGCCCCCACCGAGCCCCACCCCTTCCCATGTCCCATCCCCTCACTCAACTCCCATCCCTAACAAAGCCCTGCCTCCACCCAAGCCAAATCCCTGCCCCCCCTCAAGCCATGTCCCACCCCTTCCCAAGCATCATCCCTGTCCCAAGCCCTGACCTCACTCAAGTCCAACTACTGTCCCCAAGCCTTCCGCCCTCATTCCCCTGTTGTCCCCACCCACACCTAAGCCCACCTCCCTAAGTCCCCACGACCCCTCACACACCCGCTACCTCAAACATCCCTCATTCCAGAGCAGGAATACATGTGGTCACTGGAAGCTGGTGGAGGCCGGGGGAGGAAGGGATGAAGCCACTTTCCCTCTAGGATACGGCCCAGAGCCACTAGTCCTGACCGCAATGGCTGCGAGCAGGGTTAGGTGTGGAATAGGTTCCCCTGCAATTCTTAGGCTGGTCGCGGTGCCTGGAAATGGCGCCGAATTGATGCGGCGCCATGCCTGATGTAGTGGGATCCCACTTCCAGGGGAAACCTGTAGCCACCAACCCCTGGGACGCCAAGGGAGACGGCAAGGGTCGTTGTGCGGAATCCCACGCGGTTTGGACGGCTCTCTGTGCCCCGGACCCCGACCAGTACCTGCTGGAGACGCCTACAGGCCGAAGCGCCTGGGCACCACGACCACCACGCGTCCGTTACCACTGCTCGCGCAGTGCACACTGGGCCGGGAGCCCGTGGAAAGGGGCTGTCGGGCTACAAACGCCCCGCCCCCCCGCTCCCGCTCCCCCGCTCCCGCTCCCCGCCCCGCAGAGCTGCACACGGCCCACTCGCGGCTGCGCCCTAGCAGCGTGGCGCCCACCATCCCCCCTCGGAAGGCGGGGGGAGCCCTCGCCCCGCCCTGCGCCACTGTGCGCAGCTAGGCGGACGGAGTTCGAATTAAACCGGGGCACCTTAAACTGCAGAGCTGGACAGAATCCAGCCTGGGACTGTGAGCGGGGTTAGGTGCGGAATAGGGTCCCCTGCAATTCCTAGGCTGGTCCCTGGAAGGAGACCGCCAGACCCACCACGTGCCACGCCAGGCCCAGCAGCCATCGTGGCTCTTGTTTAGCATGTCTGTTCCCCATTGGACGGGAGCTGTGGCGTGACAGTCACCAGTCGCTCTCGCTATTTGAATATTCCAGGCGGTCAGCGCAGGGCCAGGTGCAAAAGTAAAAGCCCGGTGGGTGCTTACTAAATGAAATCCTGATCTTTTTCTTTTTTTAATTGGTCTGTTTTCTAGAGGCGGACAGCCGAAATACAGCTGCTTCCGGTAAAAATGCAAGGGCACGAAAAATTTTCGTATTCACCAAGAGACCGAAAACTTTCAAAGAATTACATTCTCCCATTATACCCTTGACTTCACAGCCTAGTACTACCCACCTAGTACCCCAACTGCTTCCCGCCCTTTTCCAAAGAAAATTCCTTCCACAGAAGCAAGACTGGAATATTTTCCCTGGGGCCCGCGGGACCCTAACTCGCTGTTCCGGAGAACGGCGTGGGGGGAGCTCAGGTTATCGCAATGGAAATCTGAATATCTGGTAGATCTTGGTAAAAATATAAGTTCTGATTCAGGAGGACTGGGGTGGGACTGAGATTCTGCGTTTCTCGAAAGCTAGGTGACGCCCATGCTGCAGATCCCTGACTACGCTTGGAGTACCAAGGCTCTGAAGCCTATAGTCACTTTTCGGACCAGAAGTTGTGGTCATCTGGTGACAGAATAGATTTCTTTTGCTTTATTCGGGACACAGAAGAGGCTTTTCGATAACGTTTTAATAAAAATATTAAAAGCAGACGAAATTTTAAATTAAAGATTACCTTTAAGTCCAGATATTTCCTATATCAGAGAAGGAGAACACAGACCTGAACATGCCTTACTTAATTAGAACGTACTTTTGAGAGGCTGTTTCCTTCCCATGCCAAGAAAAAGGGGTTACCTGCTGGTGTCAGAAAGTCTCCTGCAGACCTCCTGCTGTCCCGGTCCAGGTCTTCCTTTCCAAGGTCCCAGGTGGGCTCCCAGGTCCTGGGGTGGGCACTGGCTGTGACCTCGTCCATCCCGTCCTCCCCGCCGGCTCCTGAGACTGGGCTTCGGGTCTCGGCACCGGGGCCGGGGTGGGGCGGACTGCTCAGAGGAGAACACACGCACATTTCCACAACAAGCAGCGCTGGGCCTCAATCTACGCCCAGATAGCACACGTTGAGCTCACGACACTGGCCCACAGAGGCCAGAGCTTTGGCTGGCACGTGGCGCACCTCAGGGCTCTGCGGGGGGACGATGGCTAGGGTGTGTGTGTTTGGGGGAGGGGAGCGGGGGCTGGGGGGTTCCTTGACACCTGGGTCCCTCTGGGGCCTACAGGGACACATTTGGGCTTGCCAGTACAGAGAGCAACCTGCCCCAGGGGATAATGAATAGGGGTCCCCTCTCAGGAGGGAGGCCCAGGCACCTTGAGTAGCCCCTAATATGGGGCCAGTAGGCTGCCAGGCCTGGCCTCCCCCTGCCTCCAAGCCTGGGGGTCCCGGGGCCTGCTGAGCCTACTGGCCCGAGGTGGACCCCGGGGGGCTCATCTCTGCAGCCCCGTCCTCATTTCCCGGCTCTTCTGGGATGGGCTTGAGCCCCTCCTCGGGGGTCTCCTCGGCCTCCTGGCCTCCTGCCTGGGCGAGGCCCTCTGGCTCCCAGCCAGGACCTCCTGGGGCCACCGGGGAAGCACTGCCCATCCGGCCAGGCATGGGGACTCCGGGGGCATCTGAGGGTCCTGCCTGACCCAGGCCCGCAGGGGCGGCAGCACTTCCAACTTCCTGAGTGGCCGCGGACGCCTCGCTGGTCTCCCCAGGGCCGGGGGCTGCCCTGGCGGCACCATGGTCTTCGGGGGCTGCCCTGGCGGCACCATGGTCTTCAGGGGCCGCCTCGCCAGCCTTGGCAGTGCCGGCAACTGCCGCACTGGCCTCCTCACGTGCCGGGTGGTCCTCGGCGCTACCTTCCTTGGAACGGGCGGCCTGGGCGGTGGTATCTTCACCGGCCGGGGAGGCCTTGGTGCCATACGCAGTGGTGCCTGCGGTGATGGCCTCATGGGCCGGGGCGGCCTGGGCGGCTGCTGCCAGGACTGCGACGTCCACACGGGCCTCTTCTTCCCCTGGGAAGTGCTCCCTGCTAGCCGGGTCGGCCTCCCAGGCCTCGGTCTTCTGGATGAGCCGCAGCATCCCCACAAAGCCGGGAGGCCTCCTCATCAGCCGCATCGTCCTCAGCTTTTCCTGGAGCGTGTCGTTCAGCCGGGCCCGC